CCCATCCATCCATCCATCCATCTCTCCAAACTAACAGATGTTTAGACATCTATAGATGTTTAGATATCTACAGTGGGCTACAAAGTACCCACGTGACCGGAATCCGGGAAATGTCTTGCCAAGCAGGTTTTGAAATAAGAACAGGGGGAAAAGCCCAAATGTTTTTACCAGAGGCAGAACAGGAGCACAGACCCTCCTCTCAATTAATGTCAAGCCCAAGCAAGGAAGGAGAGGGGTTCTAAACGAACAAACCTGAGTTTGCTGTGAAAATCTATTTCTAATGCAACAGATTGGATAAACATCTACATGGGTGACTAAGCCAGTCAGGAATCCGGGACCCCCCTCCCCAATACTGGCCAATTGTTTCAGTCCAACCAAGTGGAGATTTATCCACTGGGAATTTAACATTATATATGTGACGCTGGCATTCAGATGTTGCTGTGCTTTCCAGTTGGATTTATGAGACCCCAACAAATGCTTGAGGTGGGAGAAGGGAGTTGTAGTTGAAAGAGCTCTAAGACAATTGTCCCCTAGTTAGAGCACAGATTTATAGCGGCTTTTATTAAGACTAACACATTTATTAACACATAATAACCCCAACATTTTGTTAGCTTTTCTGCAAAAATACCACGTGTTTCCCCTCTGAACATTTGCCCATCATTTCTCCCCATGGGAATTTCTTCTCTCTCCTATTTCCCTCTTGGACTTTTAGTTCCTTCTTCAACTTTAGTTTCTTTGGACTGTCCTCTTGCTTCATTAACTTTTCCTTTCTATCTATAATCCCAGTGATAATAAAGCTTATTCTCAGGACACTCCAAGGCTCCTTGCCAAGATTTTGGGGTAGGGAAGGAGCAAGAGAAGCAGTAATGCAGCAACATGATACCTGGGAAATCCTCAGTCCAAACCCCATCTTTCACACACACACACACACACACAGAAAAATCACTAGATTGCAGATTTCACACAACCTACTACTAACTTAACTCAAGTTAACAAAACATAACTGCTGTATCTAACTAGCATGCAATGCTCTTTGCATCCAAATTCTGGGGTCTCCTTGCAAGACACTGTTTTATTAGGCTTGGCTTCAGCTTAACAGATGATAGAAATTTAGCCATTGTGCTTTAGGGCTTAAGAGATGAACTCAACCAGTTGTGATTCAATCAACAAACTGGTTCACAGAGTATGGCTTAACAGGATATGCAAAGCCTGCTTAATTTTCAGAATGCTATTTCTGTTTGAACATTCTTCCTTGGCTGGTGTCTTGGTTAGAATTTTGTTGTGAAGTCTATCTGTTCAGTTTTGAAGCTCCCTTTGTGCTAATTGCTGTATCTCAGTTAACTTTCCTGGCAAGCTTAGGGAAAGATTCTAGTCAAACTCAGTTAGAACCCCTTGTACATCCTGAATTTAGTTCTCAGGTCAGCACTCTTAGGATCCCAGTACAAATGGTCAACCTACTGACATAGTTGGGTTAGTTTGAAAAAAGGATGTATTTCTTTGTATGACACAATGATATTTACATGTTCAGAGCCAAGCTTCATGCGATAAACAAACATGCCAGTCCATTCCTCTGTTAAAATTCAAAGTCCTAAAGTGCAGTTTCAAGATGGGATAAGGAATCGATCAAAGGAATGGAACCTCCAGGTTCAGAAGTAGCATACCTTTAAACCCTGGAGGCTAAAAACAAGCCCTCCAGCTTATGGGCAGCCCCCAGGGGCCATCATTAAATTACAGAGTGATGCAGTAAGGACATTTTTCGGGAAACCAAGCCAATTGCACTCCAATCGAGCACATGACCTGAAGAACTGGCTGGAAATGAAAGAGAAGAGAGGAGGGGGAAAAAGGAGAGAGGGAAGGGAAGGGAAGAGAAGAGAAGGAAGTGTTTACTAATAATGTTCCTTGCAAAGAGAGGGAGTGACGGGGGCGGCCCTCAACAATCACCCTATGGTCAGGCGTGGATAAAGTCAGGCTTCAATACAGATAAAGACTTCGGAAGTTACGGGCAGTTTCATCAGCTTTTGGGAAGACCAGGGTGTGTGTGTGTGTGTGTATACGCATGTGTGTGCATGCAAGGGCAGGAGAGGATAAGCATCAGTGGGGGGGGGGAGGACGTGGTAAGTGCAAGGGCCGACTGGCACTCAGCAGGGAAGTGGGCATAGCAATGGGGACATATTAAGGGTGGAGGAGGACAGGACGGACCAAAGCATTTAGGAGTGATGAATTCCATACAGGGAAGAAAAAAAACCAAAACCTGGGGCCAACCTTTCTTGGGTCAGTTCAAGATCTCACATTTGCATTTATGCCATGGGGTTAGCTTGGTTAATTATGAGTTTCTTTTTATCTTTTTGTGACTTTGCCTCTTCGCGGTTTTTTTTTTCCCTGCCAAGAAACTGGATGAACTCAGAAACATGATGATGTTAATTTGGGAACCAGAGGCATAGATTATGGGAATGCGACTTCCCTGACTTCCCTCCCTCTCTGCGGGTGTTCAGGCGTGCATACAGACACACACAAAACTCATGGCACCTTCAAAATGGTTTGATCTGATAAGGCTGTCTGCACATGATCCCAGACTGGGACGTTTCAAGATGTGCTATGCTGTTAGTCTGTACAGTTTTTAGGGCCACTTCCTCCCTGAAGATGTTTAATTTCTTACACTATCATCCAGCCGTTGCTGGGATGAGAGAACTATGGCAAAAGCAGCTTTTCTAGCCTCGTAACAATCCTTGGGTGATGCTATATCAGTGTTTTTCAAACCTGGCAACTTTAAGATGGGTGGACTTCAAGAGGTCCATCCATCTTAAAGTTGCCAGGTTTGAAAAACACAGATATATTCTTCCTTCCCCTCCCCACCCAGCAGCAAGTGACGGATTTGACTAGAAACCAGCGTATATGGATCCTAACCCAGTGCACTTCCCCACAGCAAATGATCCTATGGCTTACTCAATTAACCCAATTTTCCTATGGCTTATTCAGTTAACCCAATTAACACACAAAACCTGATTTAGGGGCTTGCATCACACCTGACACCCCAAGCAATGAACCACAAAAAGATGGCTTAACAACGGCTGGATTCCCACCATGTGATGAACACCGGTTAGCCAAACTCCCTTTTACCCTGGATTGGTAGGCTGTGTGAGCCCAACTCCTGAACTGCAAATTCAAACCATAAGGACTGTTTTCATTGGGGATGCCAAGCTAAAACGTGGTTTATTCATTTGGGGTGCAGCATGCTTGAGGGCAATGTCTGGGTTACAAGGATGGTGGGAGAGAATGGGGGCCTCATGCAGGCCAGTAATTGTTCAGCTGGGTGGGGGTGGAAATACCCATCCTCCCTCCACTCTTGTCCTTGAGAAAGGATGGGGGGGGCACCATGAGAAGCCTTGCCCTACCCCCCATCAAAAGCAGGCTTTAGCATCAGAAACTATGGGGCAGATCAGTTCTTTTCCTTAACTAAACATAGGGCTGAATCCATGAAAACAGAATCCCAAAATGTGTCTATTTCACACACACACCCAAATATTCCAGATTTGCCCAGACATCTCCTTTTCCACTCGGTCCTCGAGGAGCACGGCACGCAGCGCGAAGGGGGCCCAAACGAACACTTCCCCTCCCTCCGCGGCCCGCCACTTCCTCAGACGAGCCCCCGGCCTCGCCACGCAGCGCCCCCCATCCCAACCGGCTCTCCCATGCTGCTGGCCGTGGGAATAAGTCAGCGCTGCGTCCCAGGCTCCCTGCAGCGGGCGTCGGGCTGGGGACGGGAGAAAAGGGAAGGAGTTCAGAGTGGCTAAACTTGGGGGCGGGGAGGGAGCAGGGACGGCGGGCGTGAGCGGAGCGGAGGGTCCCGAGGC